TTTTTTTTCGGTGGCGGCTGTTGCCGTTGGCGCGGGCGAAGCTGCTGGCAGAGCACTTCACAACTTGCGCGTGGATGCTCAGATTTTTCCCCACCCGTAGGACTGTGGGATTGTTAGATTTTTAGAACTTTGGACTTCAGCACGCCCGGTAGCCCAACTTAGCCCTTCCACAACACACTGGCCAAAGTGGTCCCTGAGTAGCCCAACTTAGCTCTTCCATAGCACATTGGCCGAAGTGGCACAGCACACTCACCAAAGTGGTCCCTGAGTAGCCCAAAGTTCCACAGCACACTGGCCAAAGTGGTCCCTGAGTAGCCCAACTTAGCTCTTCCATGGCACACTCACCAAAGTGGTCCCTGAGTAGCCCAACTTAGATCTTCCATAGCACACTGGCCAAAGAGGTCCCTGACTAGCGCAACTTAGCTTTTCCACAGCACACTGGCCAAAGTGGTCCCTGAGTAGCGCAACTTAGCTCTTCCACAGCATACTGGCCAAAGTGGTCCCTGAATAGCCCAACTTAGATCTTCCACAGCACACTGGCCAAAGTGGTCCCTAAGTAGCCCAACTTAGCTCTTCCACAGCACACTCACCAAAGTGGTCCCTGACTAGCGCAACTTAGCTTTTCCACAGTACACTGGCCAAAGTGGTCCCTGAGTAGCCCAACTTAGCTCTTCCACAGCACACTCACCAAAGTGGTCCCTGAGTAGCCCAACTTAGATCTTCCATAGCACACTGGCCAAAGTGGTCCCTGAGTGGCGCAACTTAGCTCTTCCACAGCACACTGGCCAAAGAGGTCCCTGACTAGCGCAACTTAGCTATTCCACAGTACACTGGCCAAAGAGGTCCCTGACTAGCGCAACTTAGCTTTTCCACAGCACACTGGCCAAAGTGGCCCCTGAGCAGCGCAACTTAGCTCTTCCACAGCACACTGGCCAAAGTGGCCCCTGAGTAGCCCAACTTAGCTCTTCCACAGCACACTCACCAAAGTGATCCCTGAGTAGCCCAACTTAGCTCTTCCACAGCACACTGGCCAAAGTGATCCCTGAGTAGCGCAATTTAGCTCTTCCACAGCACACTGGCCAAAATGGCCCCTGAGTAGCGCAACTTAGCTCTTCCACAGCACACTGGCCAAAGTGGTCCCTGAGTAGCCAACAGTAGCTCTTCCACACCACACTCACCAAAGTGGTCCCTGAGTAGCCCAAAGTAGCTCTTCCACAGCACACTGGCCAAAGTGGTCCCTAAGTAGCGCAGCTTAGCTCTTCCACAGCACACTGGCCAAAGTGGCCCCTGAGCAGCGCAACTTAGCTCTTCCACAGCACACTGGCCAAAGTGGCCCCTGAGTAGCGCAACTTAGCTCTTCCACAGCACACTGGCCAAAGTGGTCCCTGAGTAGCCCAAAGTAGCTCTTCCACAGCGCACTCACCAAAGTGGTCCCTGTTCACCAAAATAATCCCTGAGTAGTTCAACGTAGCTCTTTGACAGCACACTCACAAAAGTAATCTCTGACTAGTTCAACTTAATTCTTCCACAGCACGCTCGCCAAAGTGATCCTTGTTCACCAAAGTAATCCCTGAGTAGTTCAACGTAGCACTTCCACAGCACATTCACCAAAATGACCTCTAAGTATTGACACCACATTCACCAATCTGATCCCTGAGTAGCTAAACCTGGCTTTTCCACAGCAAATTCACAAACTGATTTCTAAGTAGCTCATCTTAGCTCTTCCACAGCAACCACAGTTCTTAGTAGCGCAACTTAGCTTCTCCACAGCACATTTACCAAAGTGATTCCAAGGTAGTTGTAGAGTTGCAATGTACTTATCAAGCCAACAAAAGCTGCGTTTTTCTCACCCGTAGGCCTGTCGATTGTTAGGTTTTTTTGAACTTCGGACTTCAGTACGCCCGGTCGCCCAACTTAGCTCTTCTATAGCACACTCACGAAGTGGTCTCTGAGTAGCCCAACTTAGCTTTTGGACAGCACACTCACCAAAATGGTCCCTGAGTAGCTTAGCCCTTCCACAGCACACTCACCAAAGTAGTCCGCGAGTAGCCCAACTTAGATCTTCCACAGCACGTTGACCAAAGTAATCC